CTTCACAGCAACCCAGTTTAGGGTTGAGGTGGGTGCTGTTCCCGATATCAGGCCTGGGTATGTGCAGCGGGTACACAGGGGCACTACCTTCAAGATTCTAAAGTGGTAACTTTGAGAAGCTCCCATTGCTGGTTCTTACAAAGGCTATCTGCCCTAAGCCTACACGGAACCTGGCCAAGGGGGCTACGAAGACAATTTTTGCAGGTTCCATTGTTCAAGGCCTGTGTGTGCGAGAGGGTATGTAGATTCTCTTGTTCCCATATCAGATCCCTTTGCTCATCCACTATAATCCCAATGTGACTGGTATGTGAGGCCCGACGACATATACTCGCCAGAAAAACCCCAAACCCCACAAACACCAAACCCCAGAGCCCAAGAACCCCTACAACATCAACCCCAAACCTGCTAAACACTGAACCCAGCCTCCCATGAAATTAACAGTCGGTACCTAGACAAATACCAATACCCTTTTGATGTCTACTTGGCATACCCTACACTATAATCAAATGAGCCATAGTCTAAACTCCTTTAAAAAGGTTACATAGGGATTCTGTAGGGGAGTATTATAGGGGATATTAAGGGGGATACTAGGAGTTTACACTATAATCAAATAATGAATTAGGAGCAAGAAAATTGGCAACTGCAGACCCCTGTGGCATCTCGTCTCCTGCAGCTTCACGAGCAAGCCCTCGATCATGGTGCGCACCTTCCCAGCGGACTTCTTTTAAAAAGAATAACCCTAGACCCTAACCCCTAGAACCCTAAACGCTTAAACCCTAAACCCCTAAACTATACACCCTAAACCCCTAAACCCTTCGGGGATCTTGGGGACACAAAAAAAAGGGTCCCCCTCTAGGATGATACAATGACAAGTTTGAGAAACTCCCTCTTGTCAACATTGCTATCAGTATCAGGGTTTAGGGTTTAGGGGTTTGGGGCTTTGGCAATCCAACCATACGGTTGCCATTAGGACTATGAACAAACAAAATGGACATACCATGCTTCCAGCTGTGATTATGGCTAGACCCCAAAGCCACAACTCCTGAAGATGTCGTACTGTTACAACTCTGCACCTTTGCAATGGGATCTGCTCCCACACGCGAGGCAATGGAGGACAGCACCCGGCTGTTCCTGGATAGCTACAGGTTAGTAAAGGCCGATTTCTGGTGTGGAGTTCCCTATGGGAGTAGGCTATAGAAGCGGCATGTAAAGTTTAAGGTTTAGGGAGGCTTGCAAAAGGGCTATGATGGATAGTTATATGGGGTATCTAAAGCAAGTCATGTCATGGTCCTCCTGCTCACTGTGTAGTTGGCTTGCCTGTTACAGTTTGGGATGTAGGTTGACGGGGGAAGAAAAGTGTCCGGGCAAGTTGTGGCACGACATTTTGCTTCATCGAATTGGCTCAGATCTGAGTTTCCTGTTTTCCTTGCTCCGAGGCTGGGTAGGGTAAGTTTCCTAAACCTGTTTGTTTGCGTTGAAGGTTCTTGTACCCCAAAATGTGCAATTTCAACAGGACCCGTCCATAGTCAACAAAGGGGATCCTTTGATCTCCTCCTTATCTCTATGTACCATCCAGGGCCCCTGAATGGTGTGAGCGATTCTATTCTACGCCCTAAACTCTGAACCTACTTGGAGTCCGAGGTTCAGCTGCGAGGCGCGTCGCTGGAGGAAACGGGCCACCTGCTCCTGCTGATCAAGATCTTGAGGAAGAGTTCTGGAATTCTAAGAGTTTAGGGTTTAGGGGGTTTAGGTTTAAGGTTTTAAGGTTGAGGCTTTAGGGTTTTAGGGTTGGTGTATCATCCAATACGGGACCTGTACCATTCCAAACCTTGGAAGTCCCCCTTACGTTCAGGCTTCAGGGCTTGAGCTTTGAAAAAAACAATCCCTAAACCCTAAACCTTGGGTCAATCCCCTACCCAATACTGGGCAACACAAGGGACTGTTGTAGGTATATTCAGGCCCTCTTCAATCCAGATTTAAGGGCTCTTACTGTAGGGGGATAGACCTAACCTAAACCCCGGAAACCCGGCTACCCTTCCGTCTCTCTTGCTCACGCTTGTTTTTCCTTTTCTGCTGATGTCGGGCTGATAGCTTCAGGTTGAAAAAAGGAATCGATGGCCTGCGAGGGCACCGTACGTTCAAAAGTCAAAACCCAGCCCAAAGCCAAGAGGCTTGGAAGCACCTCAGCCATCAGAAAACTGCTGGGAAGAACTTCAAAGATACTTGCCCCAAGCCCTAGACCCAAATTCCCAAGCCTAGGTACCCTCTACCCTAGCCCCTACACCCTAAACCCTACACCCCTAAACCCCTAGACCCCGCTCCTGCTTGGGAGAGTGGTGCTCTGAGCGCAGGAAAGCCAAGGCGCTCCTGAGCTCGGCTTGATCCCTGCTGAAGGCTTTAGTGCTTAGAAAGAGAGAGACTTTTCGACTTTCGAAACGCATAACGTACTGAAACGTCCCATGCGCAACCCAAACAAGCCTTGTGCTTGTAGGCGAGACAAGCCCTTTGGACCCGGCCTTTCGAGAAGGCTGTGCTTAACACATCCCTTGCGGTTTCCGCCCCGTGGGGCAAAGCAAAACCATGCAGCTG